GAGCCCACAGCATGTGCTGCCCAAGTCCGTGTTATTTGTGGCCATCCTCTGTAGGCCTTCCTAAGGCATGGAATGCTTCTCGCTCATCTTTGGCCACTTAATCCTCCCCCTCGAAGGGTCTGGCCAGTGACTTGTGCATTACACTCACTCAGGAAGAATGTGCTGACGTTATGAAAGAATGAATGAGGAACTGTGCTGGGACTGGGCCCCAAACTTTTATTAACTGCAAGGTTAAAAGCTATCGAGGGTCAGGGGCACCACAAAGGGGCAAAGGGAGTGAGTCAATTAACACCTGCCTTTTTATTTCCAAATCGAATTGTTGCATGAGGTTTGGGGATGATGTAAGTGCTCGGCAGTGTTGGGGCAGGATTTATGAGCCAGGGTATCTGGAGCACGGTCTGAGCAGGCAGCTGGTGAGATGCACTTACCCTAACTGCCCTCGCTTGGAAGTCTCCCGAAAATAATAGTTGTAAGACATGAAGGCACGCTGGCAGTTAAACACCCTTCCTTCTGTGCCCGGGGTGGATCTGAATTGAGTCACTTTTTCCAGGGCTGGTTTAGAAGGGTGTCCAGTTTACACCCAGCTTTGTACTGACAGGAATGGARTAGAAATGTTGGGGATCGGAGAGGGAGTGGGAAGGCTGGGTAGGACATTAACTCAGTCTTGGGTCCCGGTAATGGGGACATGATCTACTGGACCCATCTCAGGTTGGTTCACACTGGAGTAGGGGACACTGTTAGCTGGTGACACAGGGAGTCCATTAGTTAATGTCCATTCATTGTCTCCTACTTAAAATGAGCAGGATTAAGCTCTGCTGGAAGTTTCTGGAATGTGGCTGGCATAGTAGGGACTCACTGACTTGTACGGGGTACGAGAGGCAGGGAGAAAGGCAGCCTTCTCCTCCAGGCCTTCCCACCAGCTTGGGTCCGAATGATGAATTTTCGACTGGGTCATTAAGTGCTGATTAAAGTACTGGAGGAAAGAACAGGAGGGGAAAACCAACATCAAGTGTTGTACATACATACATACTCCCACCCCGGCCCCCCTTCCCTTTTCTCAAGCTGCCTCGAAGTTCGTTCCAACCCTCCATTGGAAATGCTATAAAAGGCCAGGTTAATTAAGTCCTATATATTACCAGCACAAACACTTCCAACTTTATTCTGGCGGCTCTGTGAGTGAGGAGGAGGCCAGGCAAGGTCCAGGCAGCTCAGGGTAATAAAACAGAAGACTCAATTACCTTGTACATTTGCAGTTTTTATAAAATCATTTAAAGTTCTCCCAATGAAAATCACAGTAAAGAGGGATTGGAGTCCTGAAATCCAGAGGGAGCTCAAAGAACCAGAGACTCTGGAGTGTCCATGGACAGCAGACTTGTCCTGGCCATTTCTCTACTTCCCTGGGTAGGGAAGCCCCCTCCCCAGGATGGGCTCAAGGCAAAAAAAAATAGAGGAAAGACAAAGAGAAGGGGACTCTTTAACCATGCATGCTACCCACTGGGTCTGGAGTACGGTGCTAGTGCTTAAGACAATCCATTGCAGTAGGTATGATCCCCATTTGCAGATGAGGAGACTAAGGCAGCAGAATAAATCTCTGGTGTCCAACCAGGAGAGATCAACACCCCAACCTGTGTGCCTCCTGTGTTATACTGCAACTCCTGCTCCTCCTTTTAAGCTGTGAAGCCTGCTGTCTGCACATCATGGCTCCATGTTAAGAGGCTCTGGAGCACATGGGTCTGGATTCAGTTCCATCACTTCCTAGCTGGGTACCCTTGAGAAAACTACTTACACTTTCTGAGCCTTAAAGAAATTACCTTCCTCATCTGTGAAAACAACATCAGTCCCTTCCTCACAGCATTATTAAGCAGATTAAATGGGACCATGTTGTATAAAATGCTCAGGCAAGAGTGTAGAATGTGGGTGTATTAGTTATCATTGTACCAGGTGCCTCTCCACTTGTCATGATCAGCTCATTACACTTTCCAGGGTGACAGCCAGTGAGCCAGCTGTGTGAACCATGCTCCTGTGCCAAAAACAGGGCAGAGAGGCTCGTACTCAGCACCCCAATGATGGAATTCACAAGTCAGTTCTCCCACTTCTGAKAACTTCTTCCCTATGGAAGAAACTCATTTTTTCCCATGGGATCAASAAAAACAAGAGCTACATATAAGTAAAAACAGGGCTTCTTGTTTTCTTCTTCCATATATAGAAACTGTTCAATATACCTACTCTTTAAGAAATGGGAATATAAAATTTTAATTCAATAGCAGCCCCCAGAGGGAGAAATTTTTCTCTGGGCTGTAGTCACAGTGACCCAGAGCAATGTTCCCAGTGGGCTGGAGAGAATTAAGCCCAAAGTTCCCTCATCTTGATCAAATCTCTCAGGGCCTCAAGGGCAGAATCTGGGTAGAGGTGGGATCTGGAGGCTGTGCAGCTTTGGATGGAGAGACAGGCAGCACCTAACATGTACTAGACTCTGAATGGATGACACTACAACATCCTGGGCATATCTCAGGTCCCCCTGTTGGAGAGCTTCCTCTGGGTGAAGATGATGAGGCACACCATATTTTTAAAAGGCACCACAGTAACATTTCCAATCTTCCCTGATTTTCTAGAACCTTGACACTCCCTCATCAAGAAGTAGAGTCTATTTCCTTTTCCCTTGAAATTGTAGTGAAATGTAGTAAATGTGATGCTACATAACCAACAAAGCTAAGTATACAAAGTAACACAGCTTTCACCTGGCTCTCTTCCCCAGCTGCCATATTGTGAGGAAGCCAAAGCTACATGGAAAGGCCACATACTGATATTCTGGTCACAAGGCCCACCCAACAGCCTGTACAAACCACCAGATGCATACGAGATGCRTCAGATGATTCAAATGATTCCAGCCCCTAGAGGTTGAGCCAACTTCTGCTTTGGAACCTTCCAGCAGAGGCCCAAGCATCATGGAACAGAGGTAAAGCACCTCCAATGCGCCCTATTGGAATTTCTAAACTCTCAGCAACACAATACAGGAAATTCAAGTCCCCCTTCACAATACAGGAAGTTCAAGTCCCCCTTCATCTCACAGTTGGCCACAGAGTATAAAACATAAGTGGTTGTTTATACCATTAAGTTTGAGGTAATTTTTAACTTAATACTACATAACCAGAATAGCCAACCATAGCTTTCATTGGCAGGTTCAGCTCTCAGGGCTGCCATGTAAGAGGGTCACCGACCAATTAGAGATATTCCCAAGCATTGTGATCAGGGTGGAGGGGTCTAAAACTCTGGCCTAGATGGTGAAAGATGGAGATGGGTATGGAGTGTGGACTCAGTCATGACCTTTCTACCCTTGAGGATGGAGTGGGATTGCCCTGGGGTGGCAAAATGCCTCAGAGGGAAAGGGCAGGCTTCAGCATTAGGTGGTGCCCTGGGTTCCATCTTTCCTATCTCCTCTCACTATCTTGTGACTTGAATGAATCAGGCCATCTCTGTGGGCCTCCCAAGGGGATAACAACATCCTTCTTGCAGGATGCTTGTGCAGATTAAATAAGAATACAGGTGGCTTGCTTGACACAAAGACTCTTAATAGATATGCTCTTAAAAGGTCCTTTGGCTACCAGTTCAAACTTGCAATAAAGAGGAAGTGTTGGTGAGAAAGGTGATACAGAACACATCTTCTGAGGTAAAGATGGGAAGAAGAACTGGCCTTGTGTGTAGAAAAGAGGCTTCAGGAGGTGACAGCAGATGGGAGTTTCAGCTTTATTAACAGCAACAATTGTCCAATGACTGCCAAAAGAAGGGCTGCGCTGGAGCCTGGACTTTTCTCTAAGGGGAGATATTGATTGATTGATTGATTGATTGATTGATTGTATCAGGGTTTGAACCCAAGGGTGATTTATCCACTGAGCCACATCCCCAGCCCTCTTTTATTTTTTATTTTTACTTTGAGGATCTCTCTAAGTTGCTTAAGGCCTCCCTAAGTTGCTCAGGCTAGTCTCAAATTTCAATCTTCCTACCTCAACCTCCCAAGTCACTGGGATTACAGGCATGCACCACTGAGCCCAGCTAAGAGAAGATCTTTAATTAATGATTCATGTTAATGGTTATGGGATTATTCAGGCTTTCTATTCCTTTGTCAGTTTTGATCACTTGTGTTTTTCTAGGACTTGTGTATTTTTGTGTATTTTGTATATTCAAATGAATTGATATAAAGTCATCCAAATGCCTTTTTAATCATCCAGACCCCTAAAACAGTGCTGTGAGATCATGTCATGGTCTCTTTCCTACTGGTTGTAGAGGTGGTGCTCTGCCACCCGTTACAGCCCCAGCCACAATACCCCAGGTTTCCTAGGGCAGAGCGGAGGATGCATTGTGCACCTTGCTAGTTAGAAATGCTGCCCATGACTCATCCACAGAGTTCAAGGGAAAGCCAAGTTCTTATAGCCTCTTAAAGACAGCTTGGGCTAGACACAGTGGCACACTTATAATCCCAGCAACTTGAGAGGCTGAAACAGGAGGATCACAAGTTCAAGGCCAGCCAGAGCAACTTAGCAGGGCTCTATCTCAAAATAAAATAAAAATGGTTGGGGATGTAGTTCAGTGGTAGAGCAGCCCTGGGTCCAATCCCCAGTACTGCCAGAAAACAATTYGGAAAAAAAAAGACATCTCAAAGTGCCCCCGGATGATTAGGGCTTGGGGTGGCCATCTCCCCCAACCCTTCAGTGGACAACTCCTTTTCCTTCCTTCCTTACTGGTTTCCCAAGCCCAGCAGACCCTGGGAACCCCACACTTTGGCAGGTGGTCATGATGTTCCACTCTCCTCTCTGTAGCTGGTTTATTCCTGCTGAGGACAAGCAGCATCCAGCAGGCTGGGCCAAAGGCTGGGATCTGGGTGAAGGGTTATCTGTTTGTGCCAGGGTGACCTCATGTGTGCAGATGCTGAATTGAGAACAGACAGGGTATTCTCTGCAATGGTTCCAGTGAGGTGTCCACTTGGATGTCCTGTGCCGCTGGCCTGTCCCAGTGGGGCCACCTTCCTTCCTGATGGCTTCAGAGAAACCATAAAGAATGGGACTGTAGGTGGTATTCCTGAGTACTTCCCTCCCAGGGAGTCCCAGCTTGCCGTCCCCACCTCCATCTGCCTCGCCCATTGGGTCCTCCTCTACCCTGCAGCCCCTCCYGCCCTCAAAGAGCAGCCATGCGGAGCTCTGCCTCCCTCCAAGGGTGGCTGCTGGGAGGGTCCTGGCAACATCGCCCTCCACCTGGACACCCCACTGAGGAGAACAGAAGACACAAGCTGCTGCTAGGTCTGTCTGCCAGGGTCAAAGTCCCCACAGACTTAGTCAGGAAGGGGCCACTCAGCCAGCCCTGGCACCTGATGCTTGGGGGTAATGGGGTGGGCAGGGTCCAAGCGGCACAGAAGGGGTTAAAGGAGCTGGTGGAAGATAGGAGYGCAGGGCGCACTGCACTGCTGGAAAGCAGCTAGCAGGGTGCATGGATAATTAGAACTGAACATCAGTAAACAATGCCTTTTCCCCTCATTAAGGACAAATCTGTATGTATAATGTGCCTATTTTCTCTTTCATTAACTTATAAATGGCCACTACTTTAAAGCCATTTAACCAGCAGTTTTGACTTGCCCGTCAGCTCAGGGTCTGACAAGTCTTCTCACCTCTGAGGCTGACAGAGGTGGCCTCTCAGCACATGGTCCTCACAGGAAGAGGACATGTGGGTGCTCCTCTGAGACTCAAGGAGCTGCAGAACCTTCCAGAAGGGGATGCAAGGGGATGTGGGAGGACAGGCAAGGCCAGGTGCCCGAGCAGGCCTTCTGCCCTGGACCCAGGTGACCCCCCCACCAGCCCCTCCTCCTGGGCCTCTGATGATCACCCTCGCTCTCTAAATTGCTCTTTCTGTGCCCTTGAGTAGCAGAGGACTCTGATTCTTCCTATAAAAGAGGAGCCTTGAGAATGTGCCCAATCTACACACATCCTCCAGGATGCCCAGCAACAATCTGGGACCAGAGATCCCAAAGGTGAGATATCACATCGGCCCTCACAAAGCTCACAGTCCAGTGGAGAGAGCAACATGCACACATASGTAAGGAAATGAAGGTTCTGCTAAGTGAAATCTGCACTAAAAGTTGGGAAGGCTTCCCAGGTGAGAGTGTGCCTCTTCCATCAGTCTGGAAACTTCCCAGGAGTAAGTATGAGGTCTCCCTCATCAGGCTAGACACTTCAGAGGCTACTGACCAGTCCCTCCATGGGACTAGGAGATGCCCTGGAGGCAAAGCCTGGAGACCCCTGGGTTAGGAACGATTGCTCCTATCAGATCAGAAACTCCCATGAGGGAGGGATCTGTCCAAAAGCAGGGCTTGTTTCCCTGCCCTTTTCTAGGTAGCCCCCAGGACCCTGGATAAAGATGAACCCAGCCCTGGAGCAGCCTCCTTGTATTCCTGCCTCCTTCCTGGGTCCCAAAATGTTTACCAATCCTGTCCTAGGACTTAGGGGTAGAGATGGTGCCAAAGAGRAAAAGGACATAACCTTTGCCTGTAGGAGCACCCATAGGGAGCTTCCTGGTTTTGTAGTGCCATAAAGCAATAGTAAGACAAGAGAAAGATGAACAATTATGGAGGGCTCACTTTGTGGCAGCAAAAGGCATGTCCATTACCAGCTCTGTCAACCCACCTAAGTGCTCACAGTTGTGAGATGGATAATATTTTCCCTATTCTACAAATGAAGAACTAAACTTCCAGAAAGGTAAAGCAATTTACTCATGGTCATGTAGCCAGTTGATGTTAGAACTGGGAGTTAAACTTAATCTGTCTAGTTCCAAAACCTAAGCTCTTTCCACCACATCCAACTGTCACCTGGGATGAATTTTTTTAAATCTCATAAATTGCAGAAAAGAGGAAGAACATCAAGAATGGAGGTTCTGGCAGCTGTCAAACCTCAGATGCAGGAAAGATCTGGAGTGGTCAAAGATGTTCTGAAGATCTGATGGTGAAGCTGGGGAAAGTCCCACTTCTGGACCCCCTGCCCTGTACCCTCCCTGGACAGGAATATTGAAGAACCTCAAGGCTGGTGAGGAAACATGCTCATAAATTCAGTTGTTCCTTAAAATATTACCTCTTGGTAGTGTTTTAACATTAGATGGACTTCTGATGGGTGCTAGGTTGTTCCACTGTTGGAACATATGGACATCATGATCATTAGCTTTGTTATTAATTACAAATACTAGGAAACAAGGTGAAATTCCATCCACAAGGAAAAACAAGAGGGTCTATTCACATGCAGAATGCTATCTATACAGCTGTTAATGAAAATAGGTCCATGCAGGCTTGACATGGCTAAGTCTCCAAAATACACTGTCGAGTCAAGAAAACACAACTTGCATGCATGATATTACTTATGGAAAAAAGAGATATCTCCAAACAAAGAGCTTTCAAGGGCTACATATTGTACTTATGAGATCTGAAAAACACACATGAAAYTGATCACAGCAGTTACCTCTGGTTGGGGGTAGACATAACCAGATGGAAGGATCAAAGGGGACTCTGGTTTTCACGGGGTGACCACCTGTCCAGGTTTGCCCAAGAGGCCTCTGTTTTCCCTGTTGCAGGTGTGACTAATAATAGTGCTTGCTTTTCACTCTCAAAAGTGTTCTGTTTCAGTGATAAATTATATAATGGTCTTACTTATCTATGGTGTTAATTTTTTACAATAAGAACGCATTAATTCAACCCTGTGTCATTTCTGATAATGCATAATGTAGAAGGTAAAGTCCTCCTCCCACCCTCCAGGCCCCGGACCCACTCCTCAGAGGCAGGCATGGTAACAGTTTCCTAGCATCCTTCTTGAAACTGTAAATCCATATCTAACCTCATCACCTTGACACACCGAGAAAGAGATATATGAAATTAGGCAGTACATACTGTTTCTAAACTTGCTTTTCTCACTTAATTTTGTCTCTGTCACAATTATTAGGAAAACCTGACTAATACAGATCCTCAGGTCCTACCAATAGAGTTGTAAATTCAGTGGATCACAGTGGGGTCCATAGATACATACTTCTGACAATCTTTCTCGGTGATTCTGATGACACTACACTATGGATTCCATGTTGATCTTTGTCCACAGAACAATCATTCTTTCATTTATTCAATAAGCAATTATGGACCCTTGCTCTGGGCTTGGCCTTAGAGAATCATGGACTTCAACAAAGAACAGATGCAGTCCCTGCCCTCCTGGGCACAGCCTCCTTCTCTTCCCTGTCATCACCGGTGATTGGTTATAGAGGTCATGAGTATGGCACTGCAGCAAGAGCCAATCCTAGTGCATCTCATCTGACCAAATGACCTTGGGAAATACTTAGCCACTCTCTGCCTCAGTTACCTCATTTGTAGAATGGGCACAATAATGCTCACATCACATGATGGATGCTCAATAAATTGCAGTTACTATTAATAATAAATTAATTAGAAATAATAAATATATCTTAATAATAAAACTCATGTAGTGTACCTGACAAGTATGTTTAAACTAAGTCCAATCATGAGCAAATAATGAGACAAATTCTGAACTACAAATCCATAATACAAACATACTGGTACTCTTTGAAAACATCCGTCTCAGGCTAGGGCTATAACTCAGTGGTAGAGTGCTTGCCTAGCATGTGTGAGGCCCTGAGTTTGATCCCTAGCACTGAAAAAAAAAGTGTATGTGTCAATATCATAAAAAGCAAATGTAAGAAACTTATCTAGATTTTTTTAAAGAGAGAGAGAGAGAATTTTTTAATATATATTTTTTAGTTTTCGGTGGACACAACATCTTTATTTTATTTTTATGTGGTGCTGAGGATCGAATCCAGTACCCTGCGCATGCCAGGCGAGCGTGCTATCGCTTGAGCCACATCCCCAGCCCACTTTTCTAGATTTTAAAACATGAAAGAGATATACAACTAAATTCAAAATATTCTTCAAGTTTGGATTATTGATTTTAAAAATATATATCCATAAAGAACATTACTGAAATAATCAAGATATGAATCTTAACTTATACAACACTGTAGCAATGTTAAATTTCTTTTGTTAATTTTTTTTTTAGGACACAATACCTTTATTTTATTTATTTATGTGGCGCTGAGGATCGAACCCAGTGCCCCATGCATGCAAGGCAATCATAATACCACTGAGCCACAATCCCAGCCCTGCAATGTTAAATTTCTTGAGTGTGATAATTGCACTGTATAAATGCCCTCATTCTTTTTTTTTTTAAAGAGAGAGTGAGAGAGGAGAGAGAGAGAGAGAGAGAGAGAGAGAGAGAGAGAGAAAATTTTTAATATTTATTTTTTAGTTCTCGGCGGACACAACATCTTTGTTGGTATGTGGTGCTGAGGATCGAACCCGGGCCGCACGCATGCCAGGCAAGCGCGCTACCGCTTGAGCCACATCCCCAGCCCAAATGCCCTCATTCTTAAGAGATATATGCTGAAACACTCAGAGATAAAAGTGTTGCTGGGGCTAAAAWTCTTGAAGCCCTGGATTAAATCCCCAGCACCATAAAGAGAGAGAGAAAGAGAGACAAAGGGTCATGCTGTCTATAAAMAACTCTCAAATGGTTCAGAAAATTGCATGTGTAGGGATAGGGAGACAACAGAGAGAAAAGGAGAAAGATGGGAAGAAAGACAACAGAGAATTTGCAGCAAATGTTAATAACTGGTATGTTAAGTGAACATGTGGGTATTCCTATTCTGTTCTTCCAATTTACTATACAGATTTGGAATTTTTAAATAAAAATTAGGAAAAGTGAAATCTAATGTTTTTTAAAAATAATATGCAAGACAGTGGTTGAATTGGGAGGGAGGAATAACTTGGAAGGAGATTTCAGAGTGCTGAGGACACTATATGTCTGAACTGAATGTGTTTGTTTCAGTAGGATTTTTAAACTGGACACTTAAGATCCTACTCCTTTTTGCTTGTATGTTATATGTCAATGATTATAAGTTTTTGAGAATACTTCTCATATGAAAGCATTCTCCACTACACCCTTCCCTCTGATCTAGGTCTTTGATGCAAGACAGCCTCAAGGCAAGAGTGGAGGCTGGAAGGAAGGCTGGTGTTAGGCTCCCCTTCCCTGACTGTTATGCCATCTCCAGGGGGAGGAAAGGAGGCCTGAATCTGAGGACAGCTTGGCCTGGGCCTGGCTCCTTGGGAGGACTCAAGCTGTGTCCAGGAGGGCTCTAGCCTGCTCCTCTGAGCCATGCCTGACTTCTGCTGTCAGGCCCTCAGGCAGGAGGTTAGCCTTGACTCCACACTGCTCTGGTCTCAGTGTTCCCCTCTTTGTCAGCTCTGTGGGCCCGGATGGATGTGGGATTAATGAGGCATCTCATCTGGTGTGAGAAGTAAGTCGAGGGGTCACATTTCCCACTCCTTGCCTCGTTCCCTGTGTGCTTGATCTGATCAGCCTCACTAGCTGGAAACAGGGATGCAATCACCTCTACAGATTAATTRCTGGAGTCCTCAGCTGCCTCCATTGATAAACATGATAGCAACAGCTAACACATACATGGAGCTAGCTATGTGCCCAATCCTGTTCTAATGTATTTAATGTATATAATACAACAACTCTCTGAGACAGGTAATATTTTTTACCCATTTTACAGACAGGGAAACAGAGGTATAGCCTCCAGCCTTCAAAATCATTTGCCTAAGCAGACTTGGCTGCATAATTTGCAGGGCCCAGTATAAAATTAAAACATGAGGACCTTGTTCAAAACATATTAAGACTTTCAAGACACCAAACATCAAGCCAAGCATAAAGCCTATTTAAGGAGGGGGCCCTGTGAGACTACACAGGTCTGCATACCCACAGTTCAGACCTGTACATTACTGTAAGTAGCAGTGGGAACTTGAACCCAAGCAGTCTGACTGCAGAGTTTGTTCTCTTATCTACTGTGCAATATTACCTCTCTAACTCATCATTCTCCAAACTGTCCTGGAACCAGAGATACTTACTTGGTGCATCAGGACCTGTTCCATTTCTTAAAAGCCAGATGGACTCAGGGTTGAACAGACTTACTTGTTGGCTGCTACAGCGGGTAACTGTTGAAAACTGGTCCCACACAGTTCAACACCTGCATAATCATAGTTGCTGTTCCACACAGAAGGACACACAGAGCAAAGCACAACCAGAACTGCAGGGCTGGGAGGACCAGCCTCTCTAATAAACTTCTAAGTTGGCTATTAACTCAGTTCACCAAATCTAACTCTCTAATTCCTGAGGGTGAGTTTCTTCTCTGGTGTGCTTTTATCCTTTCCTATCAAAGGATCTCAGAGGGGACCAACTTAGTTAACAGAAAGTCTCCCATTAACCTTAAACCCAAAACGAAAGGGTGAGTCAGGGTCTTGAATTCAGTCCTCCCAGGAGGCTGCCAGTCCCTATGCAAATATCTTTACCTCCATAACCAGCTCCAAACATCAAAACCTTCTTTGGATATTTTTGTTGACCCTTTCCTAGAGCAAATGTGTTTGCCTACTTACCTCATAACTGCATAATAAGAGGAGAGATGTTACTTATTTTCTAGAAAACCTAGTTTTGCCTAAGTGCTCCATTACGCAGTTTAACACCATTGATAGATCAATGTCACACCCAGATACTTTCATAATGACATAGGTGGCTTAAAAGGCATTGGATAATGAGACTTTAAAGGATGAAGAACAGGAGCTTCTGTGTGGATAGGAGGAGCTGAGCCAGTGACACTTGGTTTATCATTACCACTATAGCGTCACTTGTGCCCAGTAGTTGGCAATGTCTGGGAGTACCTGGATTGCTCTCAGTACACGGGGCATCTCTGCAGGCACACTTAAGTCATCTCCATTTTAGAAATGTGTTCAGTTGCAGAAAACAGAACACCCAACCAATAGTGCCCTAAACAAATAGAGGTGTACTCTATTCACGTGACAGAAAGGTAGGATGGATACTGGCATTGATTTACCAGTTCTACAATGTCAGGGTGATATTGCTGTAATTCTTTTGGTCTTTCTATCATAGAGGCCAATGGCTGCTGCAGCTCCAGCCTTCAAGTCTTTAACTCAAGGGGGAAAAAAAGGCAAGAAGGGGCAGCACCAGCAGCATCTGATGTCCTTCATAGGAAAAGAAAAGACTTCCTAGTGCCTCCAGAAGATTTCAGCTTATGCCTCATTGGTTTGAACAGGGTCACATGGCCTTCCCTAGCTGCAAGGGAATCTGAGATTTTATCTTGTTTGGGTCTAGGCACATTTTCACCAGGAACAAAATTGGAATGTTGAAACAAAGAGGGACACAAAGGTGCCACACCCTTCTGCYGGTAGTTCTCTCAGCGGCCCCTGTGCACCTTCCCAACCACCCTGGAACCCTCACAGAGAGCCCCCGACACCCCTGTGGTCCTCCCAGTACCCCAGGCAAGAGGAGCCCACCCAGGGAGTCCGGATTTCCCCTGAGCTGGCAGGCACCACAGTCAGCTTTCTCCTGTGGTGATTAATGATGCTCCGCTGAGCCTGGGAA